TTATCTATAGTATTCTAGTTGGATGGTTAGTGGAGATTAATTTAGGCCTGTTTCACATATTTAATGGTCTTCGAGATTGTTTCAAAAGTCTAAAGGGGCATGAAGTGCACTACTAAATCCTATTTTTAGTAGCCAAAGAAAAAAAAATTGAGTTGCTTAAATGACATAAATACCCTTTACTTGAGAAATTCATGTGAAATTATTTAGGTCCCGTTCATTTCACCGATTCGAGTTTTATTACAAGAAAAAGCTCTCAGAATCAATTACATCTAACTTTTTTGCTACAGTAAAAAGTTCTCACATAAAGTCACATCTCAACTCAAATTAAAAACTCGAATCAGCGAACTGAACGGACCCAAGAGGATTAAATTACCTCAAGAGCCAAGACTTCTCTTCTTCTCCATGTCTTCCAGCCCACCTAACCGAAGTTGTAGAAAACTTCAGTAATATCAATGCAAAAGTCCCACATTAAACAACTTTTTTTTCTTGTACGGAAAAAATAAACCTTGAAACAAAAATGTTACAGAATTGCGGGGAAGTCGTCTTGTTAACAAATCAATGTTTCATTTCTCCTAAAAGTGTTGAGAAAAGAACGAAAAATTCTTTAACAATAAATAATTGATGGCACGGTGCCATCTTAAATGAGAAATTATACCATAACCAATTAGAATTTCAGCAAAAAAGGAAATGTATATTTGAGGAACTTTGTACAAGTGGATTAGGAGTTTTTTTTATTATTATTTTTACGATTCTATCTAGATTAAAAAATATACTTAATACATGATTGTAGACATAACTTAACCGTAATTCCACACCTGACTCTATTATAAGATGACGAGTTCAAATCCCCATCCTCAAGTTCAAAAAAAAAAAAAAACAATATACAATGAAGTTTTGAACAATCATATCACATTAAAATAATAAAAGAAGTTAAAAAATTGTGCTAATTCGACTAAACTGGATGAAAATCTAATAATTCACAACTCTCCCTCCTTTTTCTATAAAGATTAAGGCACCACAATACTCCGTGGAAAGAAGGTTAAAAAATAAAATAAAATAAAACTTCGAGGAGGAGGGTGAGGGGCGGGAATGTGATGTAGTGGATACGGCTTAGAATGGAGGGAGGAAGGGAGATGGGAAGGGCAGCCAATTCATTAGTTGGTTGGGAGGAAAAGAGGATGGTTGCATCCTTCCACTAATGGAAGACTTCAAGTAATCCATCACTTACAGATTTGCAAGACTAATCATCCTAAAAAAGTTGATATGAAATACTAGACAAGACAAATAATTATTCATCTATATTTAACTACTCTCTCTTATCAAACAAAATAAATAATTATAATAATTCTCTCAATCCTCCACATTTGCAATCCTCTAACTCTCTTCATTCCCACTCTTCACCCCGTATAATCAAACGGGTTCTATTAAGGTGGATCCCACAAATGAAGTCCTCAGACTAATAGTTGTTGTGCCTAAGAATTTTTCTAAACAAAAAGATTTATAGACAAATGAAAAGCAATAAACCACTAATGGATTGGTACAACATTAAGAATGTTTTTTTTTTCCTTCTCGTTCGAGGATGTGTGTACTGTCTAGGGTTTGATGCTCCACAATCCCACTGTAGGACCAGTACCACGACAATGTGTCATGTGATATTGAGTGTGTGATGACGCAAGTGAAAATCAGGTCTATTCTTGAATAAAATTAGGTTAAATTTTTTCCATTTTATTGATGAGTCTCGAAAATTTTAAAGTAACGTAGGAGATGAGGAATAAGAAAATATCAATGATCCCCTTTTAATTCAAAAAAAGAAAAAATAGAGTGAAATGATCCGATGGAAAATTTAGGCCTTAGTTTTTTGGCATAGAAAATAAGAGTAAAAGTATGCATGTAACTTGTAAGCCAGTTTCTCTTATGTGTTAGTTATACTGATAGTGTTAATTTTTAACCGTTAAATTAGATTAGAATCACATTAATTTCAAAAAATATGTAGTACACAATTTTTAATACATATCTCACATCTAAAATAAAAAAATACTGAGTTTTTTTTTTGTTTGCCCATCGTTTTTTTTTTTTTTTTTTTGGCCCCAAATAAGCTCTTGTAAGCAAGCCAGTTTTTTTTATATTTTTTTCTGGGGTTAAAAAAGTAAGTAGGCCAGTTGGATCCTGGATAGTGACAATAGTCAACACTCAACATCAAGTCAAAAATTAGGAGCACTATTTTTTTAATCAAGAAAAGGCCCGTGAAACTTTCTCAAAACAACACCTCTTTCGCTTCTATATAAATACCCCCCCACCCAAACTACTTTCAATTCAATCATACCCACCATCCAAATCCTCCACTTCTCCATTTCTGTTCGTTCTAAGCCATTTGATCCCAGCAGAAGAAGAAAAATGGCCGGTGATAAGAGGGTTCTGATCGACGGTGGGAAATTGGCTCACAAATTTTCTGGCCGTCTGATCCCAAAGAGGGGTCAGGTCAAGATGACGGTTGTGGCGGTTCTGATTCACTCTTTGTCCTCCATTTTCTCTCTCCACAGCCGCTGTTCTGGAGCTCACTTCACTTAGTTGAGCTGTTTTGCATTCAATTTTGGTGGGAAGAGAAATAAATTTGTCTTCTTGAAGGGGGGGAAAAAAAAAACGAAGAGTGAGTTGTTTTGTTGATTTTTCTGTATCTTTGAGGCTTTGTAAATTTGTGTAGCTTTTAGATTAGGGAGTTTTGTACTTTTGTTCGTCTCAAGAATTTCATCTTTTTGTTGTCCGTGATGAAATTTTCAGTGTGTTTTGGAGAAATTAGGAGATCTGGGATGTTATCGTTTTATTAGATTTCCCACATTCTTGACAGTATGTTTCTGTTTAATTAGTTAATGATATGAGAATTGTGATTCTGTTCATTTGGATGAGTTGTTGAATTCAAATTCATATTCATCTTTTTTTTTTTTTTGCCTCTGGATTGAGGAATTGTGGATTTCCTTTCCTTTTTTTTTTGTTGCTCCGTTTGAAGATGTAAAATTTGTGCGCCAAAATTGATATCCGCAAGATTTTCACAATATTGGGGTGAGTTCAGATGGCTTCCATTAACAGTAATTTCAGTGATCACCATTTCTTGTCCTAAACACAAACACAGCCACCATTTTTGGTCGTTTGTGTTGAGCTATGAAATAATTATCATTTGTATTCAAAAAATAAATAACATGTTTCAATAAAAGTTGTATAATGAACCGTGTACATACAAATATTTCTAGACTTCTAGGTCTAGCATCATAGGAATTGCACGCACAAAGATATATTAAAAAAAAAAAAAATCTTTTGACCACAAAAACTTGGCCTTAAGAGATGCTAAAAAAAATTCTCCTTTAGTCGGAGGAAGCATAAGAAAGTATGTTTGCTTTACTGTTCTGGTCTGTTGATAATTTTATGAAAATTCCCGTGCCTTGGTGTTTTAATATCATAAACTTGACTTATTACACTAAGTCAATAATATTGACATTTAGGGTGCGTTTAGAATTGATTTCAAAACGTTTTTATTTTTTGTATGAAAATGAAAATAAAAACGTTTTTATTTTCATTTTGAAATCATTTCTGAAAATGTGTTTGGTAGTTTTATTCAAAGATTGATTTCAGTTTTAAAAAAAATTAAAACTGCGTTTGGTGGTTTAATTTTTGAAAATATGTAATAATATTATTAAATATATTAAATAATAATATATTAAATAAATAGTATTATTAAATATATTAAATAAACATCATTATATATACATATCCGGAAGAATGGGGGGAGTCGAAGAAGGGCG